AATATATGCAACTGCTCCTATAATCCTTTTCTATTTCCATTCTTCCTAATAGTAACCTTTCAGTATGAGCACCTCTTTACAGCAGAAATACTATCAGGGAAAGAAATGGAAGTGATTTAAGTGAATTTCTACTGAACATTCAGTTTGAGTACTGTATTAAGACTATTTTCAACAGCAGATGAAAAAAATGTGATGTGCATGATAAGAAGCAAAATTAGTCTCTTCTGTGGTTAATTTTATACAGCTCCTTTTAGATGAACTGCTAATGATATGTTCAAATCCTTAGGTTTTTGATGCAGAGCTAGGGAATATTAAGTATCGGAGTACTGAGATGATAACCTTAAGCAGCAGAGATATTGGAGGCAGCTGGTGAGGTATTGTTTTGTGGTTCATTTATTTGAGCCTCTTTGCTGTGTGTTCTGACACAAAGCCTGAGGAACCAACATGTTTCTAGATTAAAATGACACAGACCATCCTTAAGTCATACCTAGAAGAATTTCTGTGATAAGGCTTTCAAAAGTGAGATATTTTAGGAAAAAATAGTATTGAAAAGTAATACTTAGTAATACTCAAGTACCGCTTGCATTTTCAGTCTTGTTAGTATTTACTAATACAAATAAAGGGGGATGGGGGCAGGGGGGGATTTAAGCATTAGTCCTGTAAGTGGTACTCTTGAAGTTAAGCCATAGGAGAGCTATCAGTTCTGGCCCTCTTATTTTCAAATACGGACAGCTTTTCTTCATGTCTTCCCAGATCACTTCTGGGTTCCAGATTAAAGGAAGGGGCTTCTTAAGAGACCTTCCTTTTCTCCATTTCCCATACTATCCTTTGAGCAATGTGGAAGGCTTTATATTTACTTCCTACAATGATGGTTTAAAAGGAAAATTTAGCACTGTTACAGTGATAGGAGGAAAAAAAAAAAAGCTTTAGATTTACAAGTAAGAGGAGTAGGAATTCAAAATATAGATGGCTTCACTACTGTTTCTAATATATCAGAGGGAAGTTGCGTACTCTGTTCTTGCTTTTGTAAACAAGACACTGCTAAACGTTAGTTCCCATGCACTTCAGTCTTCCTGAAGTCTGTGGCACTATGGGGGTTCCACTGTAATCCTGAAGCTTTCTGATGTCTCAGGATTGCTTTCTGGTGCTTAAGCTCCTGAATGAAATCTATCTAATTGACAGGTGAATGTTTGCTCTTGTCTACCAATTGTTTTGAAGTCTAAGCAGTCTGCTCAAAACTGTGAGTAGAACCAGCCTTAATCACACCAATTTCTTGGAAGGATTACCATGTAAATTAGCTTACATTTGATTTAATAATATTGATTAAATTACATTATTTTCCTGGTTACTACTGCTTTTCCCTTTTGTGACCTATATCTAGCTCTAGGTACAAAATACAAATTCTTGGCTCTCACCTGGATGTTTTAGATGACTTTGTTTTTCCTGGTTGAAAAACATTCACTACCCCATTACGTCCTTGATCACCAGTGTATCCATAAAAATAAATATTTTCTCTTCATTAGTTCTTGTCTGTCCTTGGGGCTTTTCCAAGGAGAGAATTGTGTATGTGTTGAGAACTCCACGTCAATATACAATATTCATACTGCTGTGAGGTTCTTAACTGCTGCTTGATTCTAGTTTCCATAGTGTTGTGGCTGAACTATAGATGCTGTACTTGTTAATCCTTTTTGTTTGGATCAAGCAAAAAGTTTTAATAGGCTGTCTGGGACAATTCTGATGAGTAGATGTGAAATACAGATATCTTGAATCTGTGTGGCACTTGCAGCTTGACATAAATAAGCATTTTAGCATGTAACCTTTCCCCTTTGTGGTCTGTTTTGCTATTTACTCTTTGGTAATGAGCTCTTTTTAGAATGAGAGCACTCATGGACAACTTCATTGACTGCAGTTTTACCGAGAACTGTTTCTCAAGTAATACTTCGAAGAAGTCTTCAGTTTTGTGAGAAACTAGGATCAAGTTCAGGTATTAATTTCAGCATTGCCTAAGCCTTGCATTTCCTAAATGTTAGGCCTACTTCCTTCTTCAATTAGCTCTGAAGCAGGTCTTTGTGCTCATGCACAGGGCAGGCAGGGGTCTAACTGTGGCTCCTTTGATCCTGTGTCTGTGCCTGCTTCTAGTACCCTGGTATTCGCTATCTCGGGTAGTCAGGGTAAGAGTTGGAGCTTTGAGGAGTTCTCAGGTGTAATCTAAATGCGAGGCAAGTTCACAGTATCTTCCTCCTTTTCCCTCCAAGAAGAAAAACCTCCTTTTATATGTGGGTTGATGGAATAATCCCCCTTCAAGGGCTTCTCTAGTGGATTTGGAGTAGATGGTGTGCAAATGTGTAAGTGTGTGGTTTTTTTAAAAGCACTTTTGTGCTTGAGTAAATGGGGACTATTGGATTAGATTTGCTCAATCTTCAGAGGGTTGGAGTTAGGATTATGCCTTCAACTGTATGTCTTGTATCTCCAGACTTAAATGTCTTCATGTGATACAAATGAATCTTTAACACTTAAATGAATCCTTAATACTTTCAGACTATTCTTACTATGCATATTCCTTCTAGGTTGTGTACTTTGGGAATATCAGTTCTAGTTGCCTGCTGAGGGGGTGGCTATGGATACAGTTGAAGTAGAGTTTTCTACCGGTGTGGTAAATAAAAGGGAATGGCTTATTTTTTTTTTGAAGTTTTTTTTTTTGGGTTTTTTTTTTTTTTTTTAGTTAAAACAATTTGCTGCTAAAGAATTCTTTTTTACTGTCTCCAGATGAGTGGCAGTGGCTCTCAGTGACTTGCATCCTTTTTTCAGCAGTTTCTGATGAGAGGTCCATAGCTAACTGCAAGCCTGTAGAGAGTAATGGTGTTATATGCACTTGTCATCTCTATGTTGAAGTATTTTAATGAGTCCTGATTAGGGGTAGTTTGAAATTACATTGGGGAAACTCCAGAGAGAAACAGCGCTTTTATCATCTTTCAGAAGATGATAGGTGGCTGTGAACACATGTGGCCTGAGAAGTATAGTGCTTTCATGTGTCACTGTTTGCTTGTATTTTACTCTTAAGTGTAAAACTGTCCTGGAGTCTCTAGTCAGTACTGTTGAAGATGAAGCATCCTGTCCAGCATCAGAGCTTTCCCCAGTTATACAGTGTACTGTGCTCAGGTTCCATGAAACAGGGTAGTGGCTTTCAGATCCAGAGTAAGGTCTGTGCTGGAATTTTGTTTAGCATTTGGCTTGTGGGGTTTTTTGTTGTGGGTTGTTTGGGTTTTTTTGAAATATTAAAATCTAATTTTGTATCATGGGCCTGTTAAATATTGTATTGTTTATCATAAATATTGTAAATATTTAATGGGCCCAAGTATAAGCTTGTCAAGACTTTGCATGGGTGCACATTTGAGGGAATGATGCTGCCTGGTTAGTCAACTATCTGTCAGTGAAGTTAGGTTTTTCCTTTTCACTGGCAGGCTATTACTGAACTTAAAGGGCTTTATCAGCAGAACACCAAACACTGACATCTGTGCTCAGAAATTCTCTGTTAATAAAGCAGTAGTGGGCATTTCAGCTCAGTGCCTTGTCTGCCCCTTGCGTTTTCTGACAGGTCTGTTGGATTTGTTGGCAAAGGGCATGTTTGTTTAAAAGACTTTTTGTAAATACCTGCAGTTCATTCAAATTGGCAAGATAATGCCAGAAAGCATTAGGCTTACTATTAGGGCTTTTTGACCTCAAAAAGCAAGAGCATTCATTTTGCCATGCTTACGTTAATTATATATGCTGATCAATACAGAACATGAGTATTGTATTGTCTGTGCTTCTCTAAAACATGACAGTTTTGCTGAGAACTTTAAAGTCTCGTAAGAACAGAGGAAGAAGACCTAGATTTATTCCAGGTTTCTAAAGAAGAGTCTGCTTTTGCTTTTCTAGTTAGTTTAAAGCAGTGCATTTACCAAACCTTTACATTAACCTACTTGCTTAAGGGCAAATACAGGCTGGTGACTTGTAAGTGATAAGGCAGGTCTGGTTTCTTTCTCTTGGAGTATGTTGGTTTTTGCTTTTGTCTACTGTTACTTCTTGTTATGATGACTTCATTCTCCCATCAGTGGTTCAGCTGGAATATCAACAGTTGGTAAGCATGCCTTTTAGTTGTAGCATGCTCTGTTGTAATTTTTAAGTTAAAGTTAATGAATTGTGCTATTCATTAACCTAAATTTCTGTGCACTTTTTCATTAAATCTTGTAATAACTATAGGTCACCCAGCTGACTTAAATGTAGCTGTTTTCAAATGAAATGGAATTATAAATGAGTTGTGAACTTTTTTGTATGGTAAGCTAGCCAGAAAATAGGCTAGCAAATACCGTAGAAAGTACTAAGGTAGGAAAATGTCATGAAGAATCTTCTTCCTCTTCAAAATATTTCACTGACTTTTCTTAAGCTTAGATGGGCTTTTGGTTAATTTTAAAGTAAAACCTGAAATACTGGATCGAGGTGGTTCAGTTTTTAGCATCCATGTTTATACTGTAAAGGTGTTTGTTCTCATTAGGTACAATGAAGCAAATCTTCCATATAATTGCATTAGGGATACGTGACATTAAAGCTTAATTGGCTTATTTTAAATATCTTGCACATCAATTTCTTTTTAGATTGTGAAAATTGAAAAGGTCACGAGTGCAGTTGCATATTCCAGGGTGAGAGATTTCAATTTTAGTACAATTTGTACAGAATTAATTAGGAAACATGGCTAAAAGAGAAAGGATGTTGAATGCAAATTATGGTGCTCATTAGAGTGTAGAAGCTGAAGCATCCTGAAGTATTGTGGAAATTCGATTGCAAATTCAGAAAGCACCTTGATTGATTTTATTTTTTTGTTAATACTAAGATTTATGTTTTAAAGTAGAAGCTACTGTAATTGCTCTTCAGGATATGGAGTTAAGATAATTGTCATAAGGCATTCCAAAAACGTGCTGCCTTTTGCATGGAGTTCTCTAACCAATATTTTTGTTTTGCAGGAGATCGATGAAGCTTGCAAAAGGATAAAACGTGAAATTGATGATTTAGGCCCTGAAGTTGGTGACATCAAAATCATTCCATTGTATTCCACCCTTCCTCCACAACAGCAGCAAAGGATTTTTGAACCTCCTCCACCAAAAAAGCAAAACGGAGCAATAGGAAGGAAGGTAAATAGTACTGATTTTAGTATGCTGCTCAGTATTAGCTACTCACACTTGTGTGGGCAATTACATAGGAGGTTTAGCTGTTTCAAATGTATCTGGTAGCAACAAGTAGAAGAGTTTTTTGATGAAGCCTTAACAGTCCATGTTAAAATGTGCAGTTTAATGTTACGTTGAAATTTCATTTGTTCTTCAGTGCAATTCAAAATTATGGCTTCCACCTCTAAGGCACAAATATCCTAGTAACAGTTTGGTTTGTCTGAATGGGAGTGGCATTTATTTACCTGTCTTATGAGAAATGAGATAAAGCAGGTTCGGTACTGAACTTGACAGCCATGTGACAATTACATGGAGGGATGGGATTTTTTTTCCCTAAGGAATTATTGAGACATTAGTTTGGGGTTTTTTTGTTGTGTTTGGGTGGCTTTTTGTGGTAGTGTGGTGGTGTTTAGTTTAAAAACAGACTAACAAAGAACACCCAGCACAAAATGGACTCTCTCTTCAAGGGACGTTATGAAGCAGGTTGTTGTTTTTCAAGGTTTATGAGAAGGTGCAGATTAAAACCGGTAGACTGGAATTAGATGTTTTCTGTACCAGTAAGCGAGGAATTTAGGTTCTTTCATTGGGCAAAGTGGATTGAGAAACTGAAAAACTTGACATGGGGCTAGTGAATGCTCTTCATAAAATTATGAGTTCGATTCTTGAATGCTCACATAAAAAGGTTAGAAACTGGTTATTTCTCTAAAACTGAACATTTGAAAGGAGTCTTGGTGGAGCTTACCCAGGTTAGACTAATGCTGTATGAAGCAGTAGTGATCAGAGAGTTAAGATTTTGAAAGCTGACTCAGACTATCTGCTCTATGCAGAGTTTGTTCCTTGATTATTTGCTTCTTTTTGTGCAGTACAATGCATGTAGAATACTAGTGACAACTTCTAGAGTTCTGGAAGAATAAATCACTTTAATTTACTGAAATGATTCTTTTCCCTATTGGAAGTTGATTGCAGAAAGCATTCAGTCTGAAGTCATGAAACTAATGCTGCAGGAAGATTGTATTAGCAAATGACTTAAATGAATGAAATTGCTTTTTGTTGATGAACAAGGGATAGCTCTGTGTATTTCATTACGTTTTCATTCATGTTTAAAACTGTGCAATTCAAAATAGGCAGTTCCTGGTTTTCCTGATAAGAGGATAACAGATGCAGAATGTAACTTTCATTATGTTGAACTGACAAAGCCAGTACCAGTGTCTTAGGAGGAAGACACTCTCAGTGTAGCTACCATTAGGTTTCATCTGTTTAGGTGTGTTTTTTGGTGTGGTGTTTTCTTGTTTTTGTTGTTGTGTGGGGTTTTTTTGGGTTTTTTTTTTTTTTTTATATGTGTAGGTTCTTGGTTTACCACTTTTCCTCTGCCTGCTTTGGCTGAAATGTTCTGGCTTCTATGTTCTGTTTCTTATCTCCATAACAAATGCTAGCAATGAGTGAAAGCATGTCTGTGTGTTGTAAATTTGTTTAAATGTTGTTTTACTAGTCTTAGTGATTGAGGTATGTAAAGTAGGACTGTGTGTTGCTGTGCCTCCACTATCTTACAAAATCTCTGCTTTTGCACAGTCTCCTGCAGGAGTTGAACCTAGTTTTTAGGGCTACAGAGGAGAGAGCTAGCAGGAGGTCTGAATCACTTCAGAGGCTCTAATGGTCATAAGAATAAGTGAAGTGCTTGCTGAACCAGTATATCCTGAGCTTTAAATTTGTGAAAGAAAAGAAAGATGCTGGAAGTTATGTGGCATCTTGCAGTAGTAGTGATGGTGTAACAGCTGGTACTGGTGTAGCTTGGTAACTTAGAGCTTCTTTTGTCTTTTAGGTGAGCTAGGCCAGATCAGCTATCATTGCAAGAAAGCTTAAGAGTAAAGATAAGGTTAAAGAATGCTTTTAACTAGTTATGGCTAATCAGAGTATTTATACTGTAGAGGAAGATGAAGGTGACTTAACAAGGAGCCTTTCTACTCCCCTTTCATATCTTCGCCCTTCTTAAGCTGCATTTTGGTTTGTTTCAGGAGTCTTAAGCATTACTAGTTAATACACATGCAATATAGATACTATATATATTTTAATATTTGAAGTAACTTGGTTAAATCTCTAAAACTCTTTGGTCTGTAAAACTGTTGATCTGATACTTAAAAACATTTTTAATGTAAGCATTTCACTAATTGCAAACCTGCAGTTAAAAGCTCATTAGCTACAATTTATTATTTTGCATAGTGTTAATTTCATTTGTTTGATTTCCAGGTGGCTTTGTACATAGATTTGGGATTGAAAGATGTGGCAGAATGACAGAATTTCCTCAGTTTTTTTTTAATTATATTTCTTGTGGGTTTACACTTGTTAATTATGGTTTTTAAGTACTGTGACATGAACAATAGAGATCTTTACATATGACAGAATGGCTGAATAAATAACTACTTTTCCTTCTACCTTTGGAAAGTTCTATGTGATCCAAGTACAAGTGAAATTACTGGACCTTTGTGCACTAAACATGCTAATAGTATTGGGTTATTGATGTTGAAGTGTCTTAACAGAAACTGGTGATTAAAGGCAGGCCCAAAACCTTTTGACGCTGCTCAGTAATTCAAATTCAATTTGAAGAGTCTGGATATGGATGGTTCTATACGTTAGTAGATCTGGAAAAAGCTGAGCCTTTTAAGATAAACTACGCTCTTAGCGGCAAGCTGAATGCGACTTTACTGGCCTTGAAATGTGGGAGATGCAACATGCATCTTCTTTGCAATTTTTTTAATGGAAGTGTACTGTGCTTTTGTGTCAGCACTTATCTTTTTGTTTGAGAAGTTCTAAGTAGGTGGAATACGTTAATTCCAACTTAATTTCAATTTCTTTTCCACTGAAGTGTTGCTTTCAGTATATAGTAGCATTTGGGCAAGCTTAGACCTTAAGTCTACTTAAGCAAGAGACAAGCTGTGACTAACAAAAAGCAGACTTGCAAAGTGATGAGAGAGGACAAAGAGAAATCAGCAGGCTTATCAATCTAGTCCAGCCACTGGCTTCAATGTGGTTGTGAACTAATTGTTAGGGGTATCTCAAATTTGAATTGCAAAACTGAAAACATGAGAGAGTGCTCTGAAGAGCATTAAGAGGTGAAATGTAAGTAGTATTCATGAAATACTGAATGGGGTTTGAGTCTTTACTGAGGTAGCTGGTTAAACTTGCTAGTAATGTGATTTTTAATGGGGTCACTATTGGGATGAGAGCCAATGATATCTATAGGCACTGCATCTCTGGACACACAATTTAAATGATGGCAAATCAAGCCTCAGAACTTGGATATCACCTCTAATTTTTGCAAGGCTTAAACTTCAGGAAGTTCGTAGACATTTTAGAATGTAACATTAAGTATGTTTGATATCTGGTAATTAAAAAAAAAAAACAAAGTTGAAATTAAATAATATTCCTCAGGATTTTAGATGGAATGTGTTGATAACTTTTATTCCAAACAAAGTAAAAGAACATGCTGTGCTGGTACAGTTGTGTAACATTTGATTTTATATTATTTAACCTGTTTGTCCTGTTCAGACTTCTAAAGAAAAGTTAAAAAGATGGGATTAACAGATGATGTTAAAGGGATTTGTGTAACTTGTCATTTTACATGAGAGATCAGTGTTAGTTTTTAGAAAAAAGAAACAGAAGAGCAAATGTTTTAATTACAAAAATCACTATTCAGACACACATTATTGATGAAGCGAAGGAAGGTTTGCTGATAATCCTTGGTGCGAGACAGGTTCAGAGCTCTTCATCCTCAGGACAAAGCTGTTTCCTTACTATTTTATTTTTCTACAGGTTGTTGTGTCCACTAATATTGCTGAGACATCATTAACAATAGATGGTGTTGTGTTTGTGATTGATCCTGGCTTTGCAAAACAGAAGGTAAACACTGTTTAATATCCTCTTTATAGTAGGAAAGATACTGGAATCTGGTTTTCTCTTCAATTTCTAAACACTGAGAGGGTTTTTCCCAGTTGAAATCCTGACCTTGGTTGGTTTAGGTTTTGTTTGTTTTTTAACTCAAGCTAGGTTTGCACTTGGTTTGCAAAGTTTAGGTCTGTAGAACGGTCCAAAACAGTGCTGTGCAGAAGAATTTCATTTAAAAACAAATAAATTTAACCATGAGGATATTGAGAGTTAGGCCTGGAATATGGATTTCCTAGGTACTTTAGAGAGGGTGGATTTGTACCATGTGTCTGTGCTTGAGAATGCTCTAGTAAAACTGAGAAATTTTATGAAAGTAAATAAAAATGGTGCTAGGAGCCACATCTTCTTTTAATTTGTGTTAGTGTGGAAAGCTCCAGCACTAAAATGAAAAGAGAGAAGTAATACTTAGGGCAGTATTGCTTCTTGTCAGTATGTATCATGTACTGTTGTAGTCCTGAAGATTGTCATTGAGCTTGTGCTGCTTGGAACATCATGGGATGTTCGGAGGAACGGATGTAGCTTGCCTACAGACAATGCAGTAACTAAGGGATAAAATTAGTTTAGTTTTTTTCACTAATGATAGCTGTCATTGTAACTTGCTTTCCTAGACTTTTCCTTTAATACTCACATACATTGTCAGCCTTTTAAACTTTTTCAAATTGAGAGATACAGCAGAATGTGAGTACAGCCAATGCCTCTTCATACACAAGTTTTGATTGCCATTGAGGCTGGGGTTTGGGTTGTATTTTTTTTCTTCCACAAATAGTTCTTATACTGAATCACAGAATGGTTTGGGTTGGAAAGGACCTTATTAAGACCATCTAGTTCCAACCCCCATTCCATGGGCAGGAAT